TCTTCTTCCAGTGTTCGCAGCCACTGACGCTCTCTAACGCCAGCACCTCGGCCAGTTCGCCGAGCTCTAGCCAAAGGAGAAGGTGGGTAAGTAGAGAGGTCCCTATACCACGGTTTGTACAAGGCAGACCGTGAGCCAATTGACCAGTGGTAAAGCACGGAGGAAGCAACTGGCTACCAAAGCCTCTCACAAGAGTGCGCCCTCCACTGGTGAGGTGAAGAAACTCCTTATAGGCCTGGTACTACAGCACTTCGTGAAATTAGATGTTATCAGAAGTCCACTGAACTTCTAATTTGCAGACTTCCCTTCCAGCGTCTGGTGTGAGAAACTGCTCAGGACTTCACAACAGATCTGTGCTTCCAGAGTGCAGCTATTGGTGCTTTACAGGAGGCAAGTGAAGCCTATCTGGTTGACCTTTTGGAAGATACCAACCTGTGCGCTATCTCCATGCCAACATGTTAACAATCACGCCAAAAGACAGCCAGCTAGCACACCACATACGTGGAGAATGTGCTTGAGACTCCACTGTGATGGGAAACATTTCATTCTTTAAAAAAATTTCTCTTCTTCCTGTTATGGTTGTTCTGAACGTTAGATTTTTTTTCCCCCATGGGGTCAAAAAGGTACCTAAGTATATGATTGCAAGTGGCAAATAGGGGACAGAAATCTGGTATTGCCCATTTTTTCCATTTTCATTTGTGTGTGAATTTTTCAAGTATAAATGCAGGGACATAAAGCATTAATGTAAGTCGAGGTATTTCATTTAAACGAGTTTCAAGCAGTTCAACTTTGTAACAATATAAATAAACCTGTTAAATTTTTCTGGACAATGCCAGCATTTGGATTTTTTTAAAACAAGTAAACTTCTGCCCTGGCTGGTGTAGCTCAGTGGATTGAGTGCAGGCCTGCGAACCACACGATCACAGTTCGATTCCCAGTCAGGGCACATGCCTGGGTTGCCGGCCAGTTCCCGGCAGGGGACACACTAGAGGTAACCACACATTGATATTTCTCTCCTTCCTTTCCCCTCTAAAGATTAATGAATAAAACCTGAAAAAAAAACCCACAAATAAATTTCTTACTGATAGCAACTAAATGGTGTTTATGGCATTTTATCATACAGCAGATTCCATCCACTCACTATGCTTTTGAGTTGTCCTACATGCAAGTATGTTTCTGTCTTTCTGTGCTGTTCCTGTAATGTTTATTAAAATATATTAAGCTGTAAATAAAATAAATAAAAAGGTCTTCTTCCTCCCTTCCTCCTCCTGCCAGCCATGCCTACGCAGCCAATCTCTTAGAGCTGCCTATGAAACTGCCCCAATCCACCACTCACCCCACTTACCCCCCCAGGTTGAGTAACTCTTTCCTCTAGATTCCCTGGGACTTTATTTCTACTTCTTAAGGAGAGTAATAGTTATTACCTGCATTATATTTTCTGTAGATATAATAAACACATGTATTTTCTATATAACTTTTCAGAATGTCAATTTTGTCTTGTCCATTGCTGACATTACTGTACTCGTGTGCCTCATACACGACATGAAGGCGACTCATAATCTGCAAACATTTAATGCTACCTTAACCAAAAAGCCTTTACCAATATAAAAGTTAATTGCTAGGATCTCATTAACACGTTACTTAAATCAAAACAAAATTTGAGAGTACAATTCTTTCTGTATACGGAAGCTAAAAGCCAAAGGGATCAACTTCAGAAAATATACTGAAAAATATGACATTTAAATGAGACAAAAACTGCAATTAATCAATATAAATTAAGTAGATCGATTTATTTTTCTGTATATTTCACAAGTATACTTTTGGAAGGGCTATTTGACAAATTTTAACATTAACTGCCAACTCTATAGATGTATTCACCAAAAAAGGCATTTGCTCTCGGCCCTTTTAACACAGGGGGAGTGTCCTATTGCATCGCAGGTGAGAGATGTGGTAACAGAAGAGAGCGTATTAAAAGAATATCAAATGCTATTTAGTAGATAAATAACGACACATACACATACACTAATTAATGGTTATCATGACCACCAGTGACTTGCAGAATAAAATTCGTAGGCCAATCTACTTAAAAGACCGAAACTAGTGAAACTACTGAAATCGGTGTTTTTACCCTTAATCTCAAAATGAGATTGACCTCAGTTCCCAAAGTGTGGTGGGAAGGACCGGCAGTGTACGCTGAGTTTCAGAGTTGGAACAGTGGCTCAAATTAGTCATTTTCCAGACCAGGCTAGTGTTTTAGAAAACTGAATTGTCCATTAAGAATGATAATTCATCAGCCTTAAATACCATTTAATGAAAGCCATCAGGGACATAAGCGGTCAGGATAGGGATGAAGTAAAATGAGGTGCAGAAGGAAAATGATGAGTGGAAATGTGTTTGAATATTGGGGAATGTGAAAAGGCCACCGGAGAAAATGCTTGACTTGCCCCTCAGATGTGCTCTTCCTATGGCTGCCTGCCCCAGACTCCCAAACACCAAGTTTGGAGCAGTTTGAGATTACATTTCAGCTTTGATAAAACTCCACTAATTTGTATTAAAAAAAAATACATGTTTGATTTAGTAAAAAGTATCAACAGATGTTCAGAGGTATGGTTTTGTCACATCAAGTACAGAGCAACTAATTCCAACTATTGAAGTATAATAACGAGTAGAGACCAGCCTTCCCTGATGAATAGTTAAGATGTATTTTTTGGTCAGCAGCACAAGAGGATGGAATAACTTGTAAATACTGCAAACATGCTCCTTCCAGTTCATCAAAAACAATCCAACAATTATTACCATCCCAAATGCCAGGAGCTAGAATTATTTTAGTCAGCTATAGCTTTCACAAGTGTTTCTCAAAATTGTACCATCAAGTAGGAGTTACTAGACATGAAACAGGTACTTTATGTCAAACATTAGCCAATACTTTCATGAAGTATTTGGTATATCTGCTTTACTTCAGCATTAATTTATGATAAACAGGACAGTGATTAAAACAAACTATTTCTCAAATCACAACTCTGAAACCATAGTAATGAATTACGATTAAGCTCATCTAGTCAAAATCGTCATTATAGCAATGGTGAAATAGCTTGTAAATGTCTTCAATAAACTGATCATTGAGGCAAAACCAAAAACAGAAAAGTTTAAAACCTCTTTATCTCGAGCACCAATAATAGAGGCTAAGCAATTATACCTACAAATCCTTAATGACAGGTCTTTCCTAGTGGAAATTCCTGAGATTTTAAGCAGTGTGACTTGACAGAAGGCAGGTTGGTTTAATGAGGAAATTTACTTTTAATAAAAACACAATCAACAATATTTCATTTTGGGCACTTACTCAGTATTTCACAGATCCTCAAGTTTTGAGGTAGGTTAAATATCAGTGTTGTATTTTACAAATTAAAATTCAGGCAGATGTTGTTACATCACGTGCCACAAACCACAGGGGTCACAGCAGGAGTTGTATCATGGTGAAGAATCACATGGTCTCTGATACTTCCGATTAATCTTTTCCGATGTGTAGACTTAATGGTGGTAGTGTGTACATATTCATTAAAAAATACTATATATTACAGAAAGTCCACTTTGGGGTATTTTGTAATTCTTTTTTCCCTTTAAAATATGGAATGCTTCATGAATGTGTCATCCTTACACAGGGGCCATGCTAATCTATCGTTCAAGTTTAGTAGATGTGCTGAAGTGAGCACTATTTTGTAATTCTTAACTTGACCCTAAAATAAATGCACATATTGTGGAGTAACCTATTTTGTCCTACTTCTTAAAATTGCAAATTAGCACTACTGATTTTGTTGCTTTTCTGCTTTTTGGGATGGGTAGAGCAGAAAGATAGTGAGTGAGCTTTCCTCAGAGCAGCAGGCTGTCCGTAAGTACAGGTGCTCGACTCAGAGCACCATCTATGATAATTTGGGGTCATAAGAAAGCAGGTATGCAAATGCAGCCAAGATCCAGAAAAGATGCCTGGATCCGAGAGAAGGGATGTGCAAGTCAAAGAGGAAGAGAAAAAGAGTATCCTCTTAGATTACTGATCCTCATTATCACGCTGCAGCAATCTGACTGCGGGAAAAGCTCCTAAAAGAGCAATTTGTCCCAGTAATGTCTGTTCAAGTTCTTACTAACTAGATAAAAAAAAAAAAGATAAAAAAACAAAAAAAAATTTAATAAAATGGACATTTTATTAAAGTGGCATCTATAAAAGCAAAATATCTAAACATTTTAATATATGTCCCACCTATCATGTAAATTACTCTAATTGTCATAAGCCTAATACACAGAGCTTATCAAAATTACTTAAAATTATTTACCAGTTCAGCTCATCCTGACATAGGTCCCTGGACCAGGCCTCTCAAGTATTTGTTTCATTATAAAGTTCTTTTTATTTAAACAACTGTCAAATATTAGACATCATACAGGAGTAAGAATGGTTAACTGAAGTTATAGGGAAAACATCATCATAAAACAGCATTCAGCAGAGCAAATTTCAACAGTAAGGATACACTATGCTTCCAAATAGACTGACTAGCACAGCCCAACATGATTTGAGTCAGAGGCAATTAAAAAAAAAAAAGGAGGGAGGGGCCACAGGATGCAGAATATTGAAGCTTTTATTCTAGTGTCCCCAAAATTGTGGAAGTAAAAAGTTTCTACATTTAAAAAGTTTATATAAATTACACGAATTGCAATTTTTCATAAAAGTCAAAATGAAATGTTCTGCATAGGACAAAAGATATGCCTAAGCAACATATCGTATTTGCACAAGGCCACTGAATGTCATGGATATTGGTAACAAATGAAAAAGCTTAAGTCTACAACAGACTGAGGAAAGATTTCAGTTTGGTATTCTATAAGCCCACGATTGTAAACTACTCTTACTTTACAAAAGCTCTAATGGCATACAGAGTTCTGTGTAGGAAGTTTTGTGCTTCTGGTTGGCACATTAACTATTTTTTAATATGTGAAATTAATACAGACATTTGGGAGAGGTTGTGCAAAACTACTGTATTTACAAAAATGGCACAAAAGTGAATTCAACAGTCGATGCACATGCATACTTCATTCATATCTTTAACAACAAAAGGTATTGTAACTATATAACTGAATGAGAACATTAGCTTCAATGGCAGCTGTTAAGCACTAGGGTCACATAAGTTACACCAGAATGGGCAAATATTGCCCAAGTAAACTTCTATTGTTAAAGCTGAATCAGGTTTAAGGCCATTCAAGTTCAAGCACAGAAATACAAATCTTTTGGAGCCCCATCTACTGGTGTTTGAAATATGTGACCTTTCTTCCAACTTGTGGTCTTAAACTTCTGTTTTATAAAATCCAAAAGGAAGATACAGAAGAAATCAATACAGTAAAGGTTAATTAAATAAGAGTAACACACAAAGCTATAATTAGGATGAATTAAAGAAAGCCAAAACATTAAAATTGTAAAAGTTGCTTGGTAGTTTGTTACGACCAGTCCTACACTAGGAGTTAGGTAATATATACAATTATTTTCAAGTAGATTACTTTATGTTGCTCTAACATGTTCTCTCCATCAGTGTACTGTTAAGCTAATCAAAACTCTACACATGTATCTTCCCTTACAATAGCAGCACACACTACCACTACCTGCAAAGCTGTCACTCTCAAATGACTTAGTGAATAAAATGAAATAAAAAGCGGGGAAGTAACATATTAAGGAAAAACAACGGGAATTAGAAGATGCATGCAGTTCAGCTCTTTTAATCAGCCAGCCAGCTTGCTAGCAACAAGGGAAGGTTTTCGTTGAGGAAGGTCCTGTGGAGTGGGAATGTGATCACCAGTGACCTCTGTCTTATCCGGGGCTGCAGTAGGAAGTTGCTTGTTCTTCATTTTTGCTTTAGCCATGTTGTAATCTCCAGAATCAAAATATTTTTGCTACAAGAAAAAAAATTAGAGTTTAAAAGATTTTATATGCAATTATACTGGTTTAAGATGTAGATGTGACTCTATATTGTTAGTGTAAACTAAGCTATTCTTACAAATTTAAACAAAAACAATTATTAGATGAAATAGCTATGTGTGTTGACTTTTAGCACAAGTCAACAACTGAGAAGTCAAGCAACAACACTTGATCTTCAAGTCTTGAATCCTCCAGATTGCCGCCAGCTTCCTTACAAAACTATCCAGGAATGAATGGTCCTGGACTTAAAGAGTGAAATGCAAACCTTTCATTCACTAATGGAAAAAGGAGGCTGATATTCTTGCTTAAATTATTTTGAAAATAAAATAAATAAATTCACCAACTTGAGTTTAAGATGTGCCACCCACTTTCAATCAACCTTATAGTTATTAAAACTATTATTTAAAGTTGTTTGCACTGTCATCTAGGATAAGCATTTCTGTAAGGATTCAAATCATTTACTTGAACCAGAGTAGTTAACTAAATAAAAATCAAGGTCAGCCCTGGCTGGGGGTGGCTCAGTGGACTGAGCAAATGGCCTGTGAACTGAAAGGTCACTGGTTTGATTTCCAGTCAGGGCACATGCCTAGGTGGCAGGCCAGGTCCCCCACTGGGGACGTGTGAGAGGCAAAGGATTGATATTCCTCTCCCTCTCTTTCTTCCTCCTTTCCCCTCTCTCTAAAGATAAATAAATATCTTTAAAATTTTTAAGGATAAAATATAAATGCTAGGGTAATGGCAAAAATAAGCTCACTAAAAATTATCACTTAAAGTACACATCCATATTCTACACCTCTGTTTCTCATTTAAGACACTGAATATGTATATACAACTGTTGCTCTTTGTAGCTGAAGGGATGAATAAGGTTAACAACAATCACTAAAGCAGAAACAAGAATGAAAGCTAAACACCAACTGTAATACGGTAACCTATATTGAGCTATCTGTTCCACAGTGAAAACAGATGAAATTTTTGCTTGGGTTCTGACTTTACCTATCAAGTTTAGCCTACTTCTGTGGAGTGCCTGCTGTATACGAGGCATTGTGCTGAGTCCTGGGGAGAGATGGCCAACAGGCAGAGAAATCAACTATTACACTGTTTTCAGTATACAACGTGGTATCAGTGCTCAGAGGAGGGGGAACTAACCTCAGTCTAGGATAGGCAACAGGGAGTAATAATCCAGGAATGAGATGAGGGCTGGACAAAGAGTGAGGGGAAAAAACCAAACACTCTCTCTGTGACTTCAAGAATACCTCATGCGGTAAACAAAGTAGCTGTGAACTTAGAGCTTAGCAGCAGTACAAGACTGTTGAGCGGTTTGGGAAAAGGCCTCTTCGGCGGCCTTCCTCCAGGGGACTATTCTTTGATTAAGTCAGCTGGTGTAAGGTCAAAGGTTAGAAATAATTTTTTCATGTGTTACTATACACGTAATGCATTGGGCAGTAACAAGGAAACTTGGACCAGGCCTTTATAAGGCTTACTGCAGCTTCATTTTTTGCAAGTTTTAAAATGAGTACAGTGAAAAAAAATCTCAAAATTTCTATGTACTACAGAGAGCTACTACTTAAATTTAGTAGCCTCCAGAGGAGAACAGCAGCCTGCCAGATTTTTTACTGAGTCAAAAGCACAAAATGAAATACTTCACACAGTGCAAATTTTAGGCAGACTTTCCTCAATGTATTAAAGTTAGTTTCTAATGATAATTATTTTATAGTAAGCAGAAGTTCATTGCATAACTGTACATAAGGCTACTCTCCTTGGGGAAAAGGCATTAAATTTATTTTGTGTAGCTACAGACAAAACTGAAATCAATGCTTAACAATTACAGCTCTCCAGGCAGAGGATGAGCCAGATCAACGTTTCTCATACTGGGACAGATGCAGTGTCAGAAAGCAGTACGAGTCTTCACCTTTAACAATTTTTAAATTCTGTATATTTTTTCACAGTTAAAAAATGTTTAATTATTAGCATGAATTTTACCATGACCTTTATGTTGTGCAATACCAGTTCTGTTTTAGTTTATTTCATTTATTTACTTATTTCCATTTTTGTAGGCTGGGAGGTAAATGAATAGAGCAATGCTTTCTATCCAGTCATCTCTCCTAAGCCTGTGTTTCAATGTCCCAAAGTTTAATTAACAGAACAGGGAAGCTGCCCTGAACTGAACTCAACACTTTGGAATAAATTCTGTGTTATTTAACTGAAAATCTTTGAAAAAATTACAAAACATATCTGGATCACCTGGGTGACAATTTTATAAATGTCTCCTCCCACCCAAATTTAAGGGCTGCACTTACGTCAGGATTTACATAACTGAACTAAGTGATCACCGAAGTGACAATGTTGGACTTTTAAGATCATGTTTCTGAGAACTGGATCCTCAATTTTCTTGGAAAATAGGAAAAAAACACAGACTAGAAGACTGCTTCTGGTATATCCAACCTGGCTCTGACAGTCTACATAGTCATTATATACACATGATATTGCTAAAAGCCGAAAACGGGTATCAGTCCTTCACATGTCGTAATAACACTAACAAGTACAATGAAACAGAAAGGGACCTCAGATAAATAACATCCGACCAATCCTCTGAAATTAAGAAGAAACTACTTAAAGATACAATGCAATTTGCCAGCTTGCTATTACGACAGAGAAACTTAAAACCCAGGATTCTGATTCACACTGCTTTAAAAACATCAACTCTTTTAACATAGAAGGATTTTGTTTACTTATTTCTTGATTCAGTGGCATTTTCTCATTTGCAACTATTAAAATGCCTACAACACTAACTCCAAGATAACCTTTGGTTGATGTATCTCTGCTCTTTGATAGTGATGCTGCTTTTAATTATATTTAAAGCTACAAAAAATACTGTCAAACTTAAACATTTTCCTTATATTGACTTATACCCTTGAACTAATTCACAAGAAATTACTCAAAGAATATGAACATTTTTATAAATCTTCATTCAAACCCCTTTCCAAAGCAACAGTTAATCATTTTAAATGCTACACAAAGCAAAGAGCATGTTAGCAACGTGTAACCCCGACCTCACCAATGGGTATTATTTTAACTATTTCTCTAATTTAGTTGTATGTATATAATGGTATGATTGTTCTTACTTACATTTCATTGATTTCTATAATGGATAAATATTTTTCTTGGCATTTAATAGCTATTTCATGTTAAAATCCTTTACGTAGGGGTTCCTTAATATTCTTCTGGTTTTGAGAGACCTCAAAACCAGAAAGAGATTTGAAAGATCTCTTTATGTATTATGGATATTAACTATTATTTTTGTAATAACTTCTCCACTAAAATTACTTTTCATGGAACAAAGGTTTTACATTTGGTATAATTTTTCCTTGTCATACTGTTATTTCAAAGCTGTGAATGTTATTCTTTCATGTAAAATAAGAAAAATAATTCCATTAACTATTATTGCTAAGTTAGCTTCTTTAAAGCCAGGAAAGTTAAAAAGATAATAAATTCCATCTGGGCTATAAATAAAACACTGACATTAAGAAAAAGATCAATATTTTGTCAATTTAAAAAATAATTTGTTAAACTAAAATAATTTGTTAAACAATTTGTTAAATTATAACGACTTGGCAGGGAGACAGCACACAGTCTCCCTTGCGTGTGGACTCTAACACCATCGGACTCAAACACGGAATGCAGTGGTGGCTGCTGGGGGCTGAGGGGCAGGGGAATGAGGAGATGCTGGTCGAAGGTACCAACTTCCAATTGTTAAGATGAATAAATTACAGGGATCTAATGGGCAGCATAGTGACTACAGTTAACCAAATATACACTCGAAAGTTGCTAATAAAAGCGAGGCTTTAATGTTCTCACCATAACAACAAAATCACATGAGGTACTTACATGAGGTAAAGGATGTGTTAACTTATTGTGGTGAGCATTTCACAAGTACATGTATCAAGCCATCTCACTGTATACCTTAAACTTACCCAATGCTGTATGTCAATTATATCTCAGTAAAGCTGGAAAAAAATATCCTTTTGAAATTTGGTTTGTATGAGAAAATAATCCATATATAACTACAGCTAATATACATATATAAACATACATGTTTTTATAATCAAGCTGCAGATACCAGTATATCTAAGGTCTTCATTTAGGGATAAACATGATTTGGTATTTGATTCAACAAGTAATTCTCTTCCATAAACAACATTTCATTTTTCTCTGCTCCCTGTATGGTAAATAATTTAAATGTGCTTGGACTGAAGATAGATCCTTTAACTTTTTTTATAAAGAAAGAAAAAAGTTAAAGAAAAATCTAAGGAGTAAATACATTAACATTCTCAGTTCAGATCTTGTTTGAGAAATAATGGTTTTTACCTTACAAAATTTGGTAGACTTCAAAAATGTTTTCAGTAATTTGAACTACGAAAATTACAGTAAATAAATTGTATCAGAGCAACTGTGAAATGTGTTATGTAAAGGAGAGATAGTAAGCTACGTTTATATAAGTGATCATTTTATCCAAATAAGAAGTATTTGAAGCCCTTGGGTATTGTATGGAAATCACCATCACAACAATTAAAAGTTTAAAGAAACATGGGCAGAAGAATAAATACCAGCTTCTGGATAGCGGTTGCTTTTGGAGAGAAGGGAGAAAGGGGATATACAAACATATGTGGTAGATTTTTAACTAGATCTACATTTTCTTTCTTACAAAGACAAACCTTAACTGAATATGGCCGAATATTTATAAACATGTTAAATTTGGGTGGTGGTGCACGGGTGCCGTTATATCATTACCTGCAGCCTTCTGCATGTTTGGAATACTTCACATTTCAAAGTGATAGAGTCTGGGGTTCTGAGTTCCCATCTACCTATACGTATAGAATGAACAGTACCTAAAATATTAGAAAAATATCTCACACACATAAATGTATCTCACATATATATCCAGCAACGCACAGAGCTATATAGGCAGACAGCCATTTCACAATCTCTATTAACATACTGAATTCACATATTTGAAGATTACACATAAAAACTTACCCCTTTTTGTAATCGTTTCCTTAAGAAATCTGAACCTCCAGGCTTTTGTCCCAGATGAGGATACCTCGCTTTTAATTTTGCTTCTTCGGCTTTCTCTGGATTAGTCACTTTATCTTCCATTTCCTGAAATAATTTTAAATATGTTACTTCTCTGTTATAATTCAGTTACTTAAGATAATTTACCTTTTAACATCTGGATTCGGACTTTAGTTGTCTGATGCCAAATAATGCAGCATCTGACTGAGAAGTCAAGCAGAGCAGCTTTAAAACATCTCTATCTTGTTTTTCAAATGATCCATGTGACAGCTCTATTATAGCTGTGTGATGCATGTGTACCACCCCACACACAGGATAAAAATATCACGACAGCTCAGCTCTCAAGTCTTGCTTGCCGTTACTTTCCAGTCATGTATAATACATTTATATTTAGTCATCTTCCATGGAATTCTTCAGCCCTTTGCCTATATTTAGAAAATCATCTTAATACTGTTAAAATACAAAAGACCTTTCTGATCACCTATTTATCTAAAATCATGCATGACTAGAAGCTCCTGAGATTCTTTAATACAACTTGACAGCAGCTTACCAACACATTTTACTTGGATAACTCATACACAGGACTTTAATATTTGTAAAGGAGAGAAATATCATCCTTGTCAATCTTCACATCTGTGTGTATTATTGCCCAAATATCCCCTTATAATTAATGACCCTTTAATGTTAAAGATTATATTCTTTAATGTATGAAAAATGTGTTTTCTGACCCCAAAACTGTCAATATCTTAAGACCACTTTTAACACCAGCTCTGATATACTCCCCTTTCTTCCCAAGAGCCAAATTTTTATATAGAAGCAGTGTTCATTACTTTATGGCAAGTGCTGCAGGAGAGAGAATGAATCAAGAAAAACAGCTGCCCTGATAGAGGAGACTGGGCAATGGCAAAGTGCATTTCTAGCTAATGTACTCCTGTCCACAGCCCAGCTCAGCAAAATGACACACCTCTGCATTTCTCGAATTCTCCCAGATTATTTACGAACAGTCAAAAAGCAAGAATGTTAAATCCATAAATGCCGAGCCTACTGTTCTTATATAGCAAGTCAATCATTTATCAATCTAGGAACTAAAGAAACAAGTTTTGCATGTATTTTCCTCAAAATTATAACTCGTATGTTTTATAATCAGCTTTATTCACCTCACGTACTGTCATTATCTCCATCTTGAATAGCTTCATGTGTTGTTATGTCTTCTCATTTTTAGTCGTAGAGGATTTTGAGAGTACAGCTGCTGCTGTCAAATATACTTATTCTACAGGCTCCTTTGAAACCTATGCTCCCTTCTGCTTCAAGTGTCCCACCTTCCTCCTTTGGTGCTGCAGTATATATCACACACTACTTTTAGTTTCTCTACAGAGGTCACACCCTTCACTCACCTGATGCACATAAAATTCAACATACGTGTTCAGCCAGAGACAGAGACTCTAAATAGCATCAGTGATCCTGCCAGTCATTCCGTTCAAGAAGGGTGTGCCCCAGAGACCTCAGCTTGAAGCGTGTGATGTAAACTTGCCATTCCCATGAGCCCAACCCCTGGGTGTCTTTCAGAGTGTAAGCATATCAATGTACTGTTTATCATTTTAGTGGTGAAAAACTACGATTCTGTAACACAGCCTACTACCTGAGCTGGCAATCAGCAGGAGAATCAGCCCATCCATATGTTCAAACAGTAGACGACAAAGTAAGTAACTAACCTACTGAGAATTGACATGGCAGTTTCCAATATGATCATGACTTCCTCAGGACTTTTCAAGGGGTATTTTAGTTATATTGACTACACTGTAGTGACTGCAGAAGCTGGAGAAATCATATAAACTTAAGGTTACCAGTTTCTTGTAGTAGGTGGGCTAGTTCACTGCAGTTTCTTCTCGGTGGCTCAGCCTTCACTCAGGCAACTACTATGGCCCCAGGGTATTCGCAGTGCTACAATACAGAAGTGCAACTGGGAGGAAGGACCTACTCTCGAATTCCACTGTAAAGTTATTTTTTAAATTGGCTGACATTAAATGTGGACGTGGGTTGGAAAGGACTGCAACCTGATTACAGCCTTTTAGTCCCAGAACTTTCAAATTAAAGGGTGTTAACAGAGTCACACACCTCCACTAAAACCATCCAGCTTTCTTGGGCCTGGGAAATAAAGGCTCTCTCTACTTCCTCCTTTATTTGATTTGAATGATCAATTCTCTCTACCTGAGAGATTCCTTAAAATTTTTGGTATGGGGTAGTAACTTGCCCTAGTTTGCAATGTTTCTTCCATTTTATATAAGGGGACAAAACTAGACACTATATGCTATCTTATCTGGTATTCCCTTACTTTCTTAATAAGGAATACATTTACGTATATTTATATATAATAATAAACATGTTCATGTTCAATTCAATTAAAAATAACATACTGCAGAAAAATTGTTTTGGGCAAAACAATAACTACAGCTGAAAATATCATTTAGCTTTAGAACAGATTTATTGTATAATTTGTCCTAGAAAAACAAACCAATTCTTGAACCTTCTTGCCAAATATATAGCACAATGGCAAGTCCCTGCTAGATGCAAATTCATAGCTAGATTCATATTTCAGCTGCATTTAACACCAAAAGGGAAAATATGACCAAGATTACATTTTTTAAGATTTTTATTTATTTATCTTCAGAGAGGAAGGGAAGGAGAGAGGGAGAGAAATATCAATGTATGGTTGCCTCTCATGTGTCCCCCACTGGGAACTGGCCTGCAACCCAGGCATGTGCCCTGACTGGGAATCGAACCGCGATACTCTGGTTCACAGGCCCGTGCTCAAGATTACATTTTTAAAGCATAATAAATACCATCAAGATATCCACAACACTTTTCATGGATCGTACATAAACATTCTTAACCTTCTCCAGGTGTAGGCAGTTCTAAAACCTTGCTGGTAAGTAAGTTCGAATGTTTGGTTGAACATTCACCACCACTCTGACACAGTTACAGGCTTCCTCGTGGAGAGAAGTATAAATAACATGTCAGGTGGCAGGCTGTGTCCACTGGGATTCAGCCCCGTTATCCTCCTCTAAAGACTTCCCTAAGTCACTACAGTCAGAAGTCTGAAACTACATTTCCCAGGACTGAATGCCTTTTAAGGGTCTGCCAATGGTACCTACACCAAATTAAAAAGCATGAAAGAAAGAATCCATTCTGTTCCTGGTGATGCCACCAACAAAGCAGCAGTAACTCCTGTAGGGCGCCATGGAGCAGATAACTTGAGGCTACCTTAGCAGCAACATGAGAGCTGGTATGGAGGATACTGGACTCAGAGAAGCGCTCACTCTGGTGGGGTCAACAGCTTCCCCTCACAACTGGAAACATTATCTTTCCCCTTTGCTTTTCTATCCCTTCCAATAATTTGTAATCTAATTCCCTACATCACATCCCTTCTGGTTTGACATACCCTAGACAGAACACCAACAAATAAACTCAGGTAAAATAAGCAATGTGTTCCTACAGTCAAGTTAAAAAATGTAAAAGGGGACCCAGAATTTTGTCCCCTTCAAAGGAATTCCTGTACATTTATTTCATCTAGAATGAAAATAAATCCCCAAATTTGAGATATAAAAGAAAACAGCAAACAAATTAGTATCTGTTCATGTACCCTGGTAAACAAATCACTCTTCTAACTTTTCCCCAGCCTACTAAGATATAATTGATACATTCACTTTTCTTATTTTAGGGTTCATGATATTTTTCTAATCTGTTTAGTTCAGAAAGTATGTCAAAGGGGAACAAGTTAAATAACAGAACAAAGCATGCATCTTCCAAACTAATAGGGGGAGTAAATATGAAAGAAGAAAAAAATCAACTAAAAAAAAAAAGGAGGGAAAAGGGCAAGAAAAGAGAAAAAAAATTAAGAGCAGCCCTGGCTGGTGTGGCTCAGTGGACGGAGCACCAGACTACAAAGCAAAAGGTCATTGGTTTGATTCCCAGTCAGGGCACATGCCTGGGTTGCCAGCCAGGTCCCCAGTAGGGGGGGATGAGAAGCACCTACATGTTGATGTTTGTCTTTCTCCCCCCCCTTCCTTTCTAAAAATAAATAAAAATCTTAAAAAAAAAATCAAGAGCAAATCCAAACAAAATGTAAGATGGGAAAAACAAAACCTGCTATGTCAGTAATCACAATAAACACAAGTGGGCTGATAAGCCATCCACTTAAATCTAGCAGCTGGATTGAAAATAAAATCTAGCAACTTGTAGAGCACAAAAAAGCCACAATCTATATCTATATCTATATCTACATCTATATCTATATCTAGCTATATCTATATATACATGAGGTCAGAGCTGAGTAAACATATAGGAAAACAAAAACAACATACCTGGCAAATGCTAATCAAAATAGAGCTAGTACACCTATATTAATACCAGATAACGACGACTTTGAAAGAAAAAGCATTTTTAGGAGACAAAAGGCCTAAATAGTCATGATTCTAAAAGAAGCCTCAAAATACATTAAGGAAAGTCTGACAGAATTATAAGGAGCAACTGACAAGTCTATCAGGGTAGACTTCAACACACCTTTCTCAATTACTTACAGGTAAAAAAGAAAAGTTCTCAAGATACCTGATTTTAATCCTCCACTCAACCAGGGAATGCATTTCTCTTCTCAAGCCCAAATGGAAAAACTAACTAAATAGTAGGCCATAAAGCAGATCTTAAACCATTTTCACCCACACCACCATCCATACTGCAATTCATCAGGTTAAAAGTCAATAATAAAAAAAAATTGATTATACCCTCAAAACTTGGAAATTAAAACCTATTACTACACAATTAATGGTTTAAAAACAAATCATGGAAATAAAAAATATATGAGGTCTGTCTGGAAAAAGTCCAGCCACTGTTAATATAATGAGAACAGTTTGGGTGATGGGTGACATTGATGTAGTCTGGCAGCCAAGGAGAGTGGACTGCAGTGCACATGCATGAACAATGATGACTTTACTGTACCAGTCAGTGTGGCAGACACCACTGAGTAAGCATGTATACTATGGGGCTGCCACATTCAAAATGACTGAGTAGAGCAACAAATCTGCATCAAATTT